CCAACTTCCTGCATCCTTGGCATCCCGGGTTTTATCTCTTCAACTATAGTCCTATGCAATAAACCTTAAGAATCACCTTGTGATCTTGTTTAAATTCCTTAAGCAATCTTTCAACTGCAATAACTTCAAAAACATTCAATTACTATGGATCACTGTGAAAAAGATAATGAACTGTGATTGTCCTTTGCAAAGCCAGCACCTAGGCTTCCGGGTCTCACTTTCTCCTTGTGTCCCTTAGCTTAAGATCTCGTCAAATCCTTCACAAGCTCCACCTCTACACTCACAATCGCTCTTTCTGAATTCATTTCTTTGCTTAAATGTCTATTTCAGGCGTTATCCAACAGGAGACGAGATAAGGGAACTCCTCAGGCTGCCCATCTCCACCACAGCTGAAGCCGTCACTTCTAGCGCCCAGGTGCTGCTCTGCAAAGCTGCCGTGCCCTCCCTTGCTGGTGGAGGGCAGGGCTGCTGTCTCCTTCATCTCTGTCTATCATGGAGCACCACTCATGGAAATGTCCCATTCTGTTTCTTATTTGAATAACTATGACTGTGCTTCTGCCACAGCTCCTGTAAACACATTGACTTTAAAATGCTGATGGTCACCTTGGGAGCCTGTTCTAGACAGCACGTCCTTTTTGATGTATTTCTATTTCGTAATTTTTGAGCAGCTACTGAAAAATTTAGAAAGAGGATAATCAGCATAGCCCAGCGCGTTGTTTTGACGCCCTTCCTTTTGCTTACCCATGGGAGGCCCATGACATCTATCACTCCCTATTTAACTTGATGTCAGACTCCCTGACTGGCATGCCAATGCTCATTGACTACTTGACGCTTCCATGGAGTCATCTCAGGACATCAGAACTCTGCATCTCTCTAGCTCTGTTCAAAGGAGCTGTTTCATGGTGGCTGGGATATAATGAGCTTATTTGGCAGTAAAATTCACATTGGGTTTCACTTGTTAGCACAACTCAGCATTTTGGTTCAAGATGCTAATGATGATAATTGGACCCAAAAATCTGCATGAGAAAAAGATGAGCTGGAAGTTGGGAGGGGGTGGAGTACTGAGGCCAGCCCTGTATAAACATCACTCTGTAGCCCCGAATGATCACTACATTCATTTATCATGCTAATTATTCCACCAAGTGGTGGGAAAGACCATTTAATGAATCTGTCAGTCTCCCAGGATAAACAGAAGAACAGCCACAGTAGTGTGTGAGTTAGAGCAAGGGTGTGTGTGTGTGTGTGTGTGTGTGTGTGTGTGTGTGTGTTCGTGTTGGGGAGAGGAATATCTGTGATCCTTCATTTTTAATAAGTGAAAAGATGCCTCAAAAGTTAGCACCTGCCAACTTTTTATATTCCTTTACTATATTTTCACTTAAACAGAAACTTTTGAAGAAGTGAGGGGAACAATAGCTTGCCCCTTGAGCCTGAGGGAGCATTTATTCTTTAACTTGTGATGTTCCTCCATGTCTGGCTTCCTCCTCATCAGCAGTAGAGGCACACGTGTCGATAGACTCCTGGCCTACTGTCCATGCCTGAGTATGAGGCATGGCACCCACAGCAAGCCTGTTGCAAACTGTGTCTGAGACACTGTCTATCTTCCTGGGATCACACTGACCACTCTACTAGGAAACAGAGTAATTGAGACCGCTTGTGGAGCATATGCCGATGAGAAGCTGATTTGTATAAAAAGAAAGGTAATTGCTATTATGATGGAGATGTGTTACTTCTTTTTTTTGTCACTGAGACAAAATATGTGAGCAAACCAAGCTGCAAATGAAATGTTTGGTTTGGCTCGTGGTTTCAAATGTTTTGATCCACTGTGAGTTTCCCCACTGCTTGAGGTAAAAGAGAGAGCATCGTGGTCTTAAGAGAGTGGTGGAGCGGAGTTGCTTACCTCCAGGCAGCCAGGAATCAGCAAGACACAGAAAAGAATCAAGGACAAGGCATTCTCTTCACAGGTATGCCGGTGACCTTCACAGGTATGCCCCAGTGACCTTCCATCTGTCAGAGCCACCACTAACAGATTATTCAACTATGAAGATTTTAGAAGCAGCATGTTCCAGTCACCTCCTCAAAGCACAACAGTAGGGACTGAGGTGGTAGGACAGAGGAAGCACTTTCTATGTAAACATGAGGGCCCGAATGCTGAGTTCACATTCCCCCAAACATACATAAGATCCCAGAGCACAGACTTCAGAGACGGGGAATACCAGGGTCACGCTTGCTAGGTAAGTTAGTCAAGGTGGCAAGCTCTAGAGTCAGCAAAAGACCCCGCCTCAGTATATAAAGTGCAGAGAGAATAAGAAAGATGCCTGGCATCTGACCTTCACACTCATACACACACACACACACACACACACACACACACACACACACACACTTTTAAAAAATTCCATCAGCTGGAAACCAAGCCTTTTACACACAGGTCTTGAAGAAACAGTCTCTGATCTGTGTCTAACCAGTGTGAGATCACACTGCGGTCTTGGCCAAGACACATGCTCTCTTGTTGGAGGTTATCCTTGAATTATCTACTAAGCCAGATATTTTTATCTCTATTTACTACTCCATTTTAGAATTCTTCTTTTCCGATTCATTTTAAGACTGACTTAGAGCTGAGGGCTGTCCTGACCAAGCCTACTCTCACAAGAGAAAGGCTTAGTGAGCACTCAGAAAGCCTTCTCTTACCCACCCAAGGGGCAGAGTCACAAAACCAATAGCATTCCTGGTGTACTGAGAGTAGTAAGATTTAAGAGGACAATAGGGGTCTTGGGTGGAGACATCACCTTGAAACATTGCATTTAGAATACCAAAATAATATATAAACCACAGAGCAAGTCCATTGCCTTAAAACAATCAATCAATCAATTGCTATATCTTTCCTATAAAGGTACTTTGCTAAGCTGGCTAATCTCCATTGCTTTAACTCATATTTATATCTGAAGAGCCCCCATGTTTGGTCTCTGCGGACACATATCACACAGGGCTTCCCTCAGTCACAGGAGGGATGCTTGCTTTATATTCCTGAACTTCTTTCCAGCAGCAGGTGCTTGGGAGCCGGCCTCAGCATCACTGGCTCTGAAGGAGGCTGTGTGATTTTCGTTTGGAGTCTCCACTGTCTAGCACATTGCTGCCTCAAAGCATTTTGCTTTTCCCTGAGTTCTCAGGGTCCGAGGATGGATGTGTCGCTGCGGTTTCCCTGCAGAGTTTTCCCTGTCTTGTCCTGAACTCCTTCTGAACCCTGCTGTGAATCATGGCTTCTCTAGCATAGCTTTGGTGCATAAATCAGCTTGTCTGCAAAGGACATCTAGACAAGGCCTGGACAGCTGGCACTCATAAATTGTGCATGGTGGTGGCATCTGCCAGAAATGCATTTCCCCTAGCATGCTCGTGCTGACTTACTTTGCAGCTGAAGCACATATGTTACAGGTCTGGCCATCACTGCATCTACCGGATGAAAAATATAAACCAAAGTCACTCATTCCAGAGGGCAAGTGTCCACTTTTCTAGGAAGCTCTGAGGCTGTCAGAATGGCTCCTGCAGGGAGTTGAGGCCTCTAACTCTCCCTTTGATGAGTGTTTCCTCCAAACTGAAACCACAATTGTGCTTAAAGAGACCCGAGTTGCTGCCTGTCCCCAGCTATCCACAGGGATGCTTTATAAACGGCTTCTCTTCAGGCCGTAGTCCCCGTGGACCAAGTTCATACTGGAAAGAGCAACTCCAGGACGGCTGTTTCAGAGGAAGGCTGAAAATTTATGACTCCCAAGTCAAAGACAGGGAAAGGGCAAGAGAGAACAATTCTTCTCACTGATTATTGAGGGCTTGTGACTGTACAACTCCGACCTTTGCCCAGCCAAGGTCAAGGTTCAATGACAAGCAGGAAGCTTAGTCTGTGTAGCTCGGAGGCTAGCCTGCCCCTTGACCGAGCTCTCAGACATCTGGCTGTTTATCTGGGAGGCAAATGGTGCTGCTGTTAACCTGTGCTACAGCTTCCTAACGCATTGCCAGCAGCGCCCTCTAGCCCCCCTCCCCGGCTTTGCACCCTTTGTAAAGGACGTACCCCACATATCCCGCGCCGTCACTTCCCCTCTAATCAGTGGATGGCCCCTGCTGCCTCGGGGTCCTCTCTAATTCTTCATCCTAGCTAATGGCTGAGGGTGCACATGGCCCTCTCTGGTCTCATTTGTCATGGCTGCCACTTCCTTCCAGAGAGGGAAGTGCTTTCATTCTCTTTGGGGTGGGTTCCTCTCTCATCCTTTAAACTTCCCTCAGGCAAGCAAGCCCTCCACTGCTCTCCACCTGAGTTTATCTCTGCCTACAGGCTTCTGCCCCTCACTGGGCCTGCTGCAGGGGGTTTATACACCAACAGTGAGGTCGAGGTAGGTGTCAGCAGAGGGTTGCAGCATTTCATGAACTGACACACACAATGACATCCACGGGCACTTGGAAGTGGCCATCACTCCCACACTAAGCTGTAGCTCCACGGCTATGGGGCCAGCTTTTGCAGTTTCTTGTTTCTTTTGCAGCCCTAGCATCTATCCCAGATGTTGGGCAAGTGAGAACTACTGTTTGAATGAGCAGTTTACTGCAGAGTGGCGTTTTCGTCCACCTCTAAATTCTCAGAGTTGGGGGGTGATGACTCATCTTCACTGTCAGCTTGACTAGATTTAAAGCCACCACGGAAAGACCCATGGGTTTATCTACAAAGGTGTTTCAGAAAGGTTTGATTGATCCAAGAAGACCCACTGTGAGTGTGGTCAGCATCACCCCTGGGGAGGGGTCCTGAACTGAATGAAAAAAGGTTAAGAGAAGGGAGCCCCAGTATTCCCCACTCCCAGCTGCATCAGTCTCCTGCTGCTGTGACTTCCCTACAGTGCCAGCCGGCTCTCTCAAACTGTGACACAAAATAGACTCCTCCTTAAGGGCCTTTACCAGGTATTTCGTAACAGCAATGAGGAAAAGTAACCAGTACGGGAGAAGAGCCATTTAGCTGAACCTACCGTTACAGATGCAGCGCACGTTCCTATAGAAACGCGGACACACGAAGCTGATGCGGGCTGTGCTGTAGGTCATGAGTGCGTGGGAGTCCAGCGACAAGCCCTGCTCACAGTGCTGCTCCTGACAGTCCAGACCCGAGCAGTTCTTCTCCAGGATGGCTGCTATGTGCATGACATTCTCCAGGTGCCTCCTGGCGTTGGACAGCTTCTGGATCAGGTAGGCCGGCTTGTAGAACTCGCTGCTGTGCATCTCCACAGCAAACAGCATGTCCAGCTGGTTGGTGCCCACCACAGGCTGGATGCTGATAATGTGCAGGCTGTCCTGCTTCTGGGTGAGGACCGCGTTCCGCAGGATGCGCCGGAACCCGTGCATGTGCAGCCCCACGAAGTCCTCGGGGGACACATTCTCAAAGCGGATGGTGACAGTGTTTTGCAACATCTCGTGCACCAGCTGCTCCACGTGCACAACGACATCGATGGGCACTTGGAAGCGGCCGTCACTCACGGAGACATTCAGGACATACTTCCCACTGTCCAGCCCTCCGAGTGCTATGATTTTGCCATCGTGACTATTCACTTTGAACAAGCTCTTCTGCTCTGACTTCAGGGCAAACGTAAGCACATCATACATGTCCTGGTCTGTGGCATGGATCTTTCCAATGACCCCACCTGGAAAGTCATCCTCCATGGTGACAATGAAAATTTCCAGGGGGATGGCTGTGGGCTTGTGGGTGCTTTCCTCAATGACCCGCACGCGGATGTAGGTCTGAGAAACTTGCTGCGGTTTTCCTGAGTCTTTTGCCTGGAGATGTCAAGAGGAGGACAAAGAGTTAAGAATAGTGATTATGACATCACCCTGAGACATCACAGCAGTTAGTTATCTGGATCCTCTAACAGGTTCGCTTCTTCCTGCATCCCTTGTCATTATTCTGAGAAATGCTGAGGGCGGCTGCTTAAGTGGAGGAGTGGTTTGTCACATTCAGTCATTGTCTGTGTGCTGTGTTATGGGCAATAAAATGTGTCAACACAATAAAGCCACTGGGGCTGAGTTAGGGATGATGGGCAGGAGTGATACAAGACCCAACATGCTCGCATAAGACTTGCCTTATTCTCATTTTGGACAGAAAACATAAAAACATCACATAAATGATGTTCTCGCTTGGAGAATGCATCTTTGTTTTCTGTTGGGCTCTTTCCCTTTGGCTGGACCAGGTGACACCTTGGGCACAGAGAAGATATGCCATTACTTAGATGAGAATTACATCATAGTAAGATTTGGAATACAAAAGATGACACATCAAAGTGGAAATGCGCAGCTCGAAATCCCCCTTTTCTCTTAACAGGGAAACTGATGAAAACAGCCACGGAAACAACAGATCTTTAATGAGCACCTGTCATGCATGGTAGCGGGGTCAATGGTGTCATGCTTCAGAATAAAGGCAGGTCCCCATGAGTCAGATCCTCAGGGAACCAGTGGTCCTGCAGACAGAGCTACACCAGAGGAAATATGCCCTCAAATGTAGTTGGCGACAGAAAGCCAAGCCCTGGGTACCACACAGGCTTTGAATCATAGCTTTCTACACGTTTTGTTTGTGGTTTGAGTAAGTTACTTGACTTCTCTGAGCTTCAAACTTTGCATCTTTGACATGAATATAACAGTGATATCAGCCCTGGGTTTCTTGTGGGAAGTAAAAGATATTACAAAGTACAGGCATCACCCATGCAAATATTTAGCATACAGTCATGCATAAGGCTGTCGCTTTTGCATTATTACCACCATTATCTGTTTATTTGGCTATGTGAAGGTGGAAGGAAGTTTGGTAGTCAAACTGTGGATACCTCAAAGGACATTGATGAGTTTGAATTTCATAGGTCTGCCAGAGGTTGCCCACCCAGATGCAAGAGGACAGAACAGTATCGGGAAGGCATGACGTCACCGGACAGAAGGTGGCGGGACAGTGAGTCTGTGCCAGAGATTGATGGGGAAATGATGCGTACCTAAGGACCCTGGCATTCAAAATCCTGAAGACCTGAGGCTGAGAGCCCAGGCTTGCAAGCCATGCCAGCCACGGACAGTTTTAGCTTAGTTGGCAAGCACTCTCTGTCAGCACTGGATGACTAGCACTGTAGGATGTGTGAGTTATGTGATCTGTGTCATCAACACCCAGCTCTGTCTTTACAGCCAGGGACAGCCACAAGAGCAGAAGAATAGGTGCGGCTGCGTCCTCATAAAACTTTATTTCTAAAGCTTGCCAGTGAGAGGAACTGGACAGGGGATTTTCATCTGCTTGTCTCTTAGGACATAAAGGGGAAGAACTAACCAGGGATGGGTGCAGAGTTGGACTGGAAGGACATGAAGCCAGAGGAATGACCCAGAGAGAGTTGGGATGTTGGGCAAGAGGATAAAGTAACAAGGTCCCTTGGAGGAAGCAAAGGGCCCTACGGGTGTTTACCGTGGGGAAGTCAGCGGGCTTGCTGTGGGAGATGTGGTGTGTGAGGTTCTGTGCTGGGCTGCGAGAAGACACTGAAAACTCTCCTTGTCCCCAGAGTCTGTGCTCTGTGATATGACAGTCTTTAAATGGTGGGACAAAGGGTCTCAACTGGAGAGTTCACATATGGGCTTAGAGCCGGTAGTTACTAATTGGCCTCGGAATGGAAGAGAACGAACGGTTTCTTTAATCTCTGTGCCACCATAGCCACCCTTCAAAATGGCCAGACAGGTCTCTGTGGCAAACGGTGGGTGGAAGCATCGTTCAGTCTTATGTCTGGGATCCAAATCTCGGGATAGGCGAAGTCACAGGCAGGACCTGCACGCACGCGCCTGATCAGCGACGGCTCTTTTTGGTGACCTTCGCACACCTGCCGTTTTTGCCTTTTTGTGCATTTTTTTTTTTTTTGCAACACAGGTCATTGCACTTTAGGGACTGGGATACTGAGTCTGTGGTTCTCTCCTGCCTCACTGGGGAAGTAATACCCATCAGAGGTCGTGGCACGGCCGAGTGGTCTGTGACAGTGACTGACACCCTCCCTCAGCACCGAGTGGCAGACACTACTTAGCAACACCAGAAGCATGGGCAAGAGGCAGTTAGAACCCGGGACTTTTTACAGGACTGCTCAGGCCTCTAACTGTCTGCGAGGAGCAAACCTCCAGAAGCAGCCATGCTGAGCAGCGCCGTGCTCTTCCTTCTTGTTCTGATTTACACACAGACTCTGTCTAAGGAAACTGAGTTCGGGATTAGAAGAGGAACCTTCCTTCACTCCCATGAGCCGCGTTGACTTAGTGAGCAACAGAGAAACAACCGAGGGGCAGAGGGACAGAACGGAGAGAAAGCCGCACCCGGTGCGGACAGCCAGCAGAGTTGTACCTGTATGCACAGCAGGTATTCTGGGGACCCCATGTGCCGGAAGACCACCGCTGACCTCAGGACCCCCTGGGAGTCCAGCACGAACTCCTCATCTTCATTTCCCGACAAGATAGAGAAGGAGAAGGGAGGCCCATTGTGAAAGGAGTCTCTGTCTGTCACCACAAGCTGTAAGATGCTGGTACCCACCGGCTTATTTTCCTGTATAAAGGAGCGTTGCAAAAAGGAAGTTAAAATTACACTTATCACCACATTAAAAACAAAACAGAAAACATGATTATTGGATGGGAGTGCCAAGCTAGAACACCAGGCTTTTGCCATAAGGAATCCCCCATGGTGCTTATTATGCCATCTGATAACAGGCTAGGGTTGCAAGCATCCTTCTTTCCATAGCTAGTGTCCTCCTCACCGCTGTGCCAGGAGATGATAATCTCTGCAGATGACAACACAGGCCTTTGGCCAATGAGGCTCCTAGGTTCTAAAGATTCAGCCAGGTCCTACCTGTCCATCACTCTTAGAACTATCTACAGGGCTCTGTGAGTAACATTCTGCCCAGCCTTGGTGATGACCTTGGAAATCCACCCAAGGCTGGAAAGCGTCACTCCGTTGGGATGGAAATGTGTATCCTCACACTGTTCCAACATGATTATGTGGTATTGTGATTATGTGGAGGTTCAACACTGTAACACGGTGTCACATCAGACACATTTTGGGGAGACATGTAGGAAACTTTCCAGTCAACATATGAAACCAAATGGATTCTTGCAACCCACCCCACAACATGGTTGTTCCATGTTTCTCTAGGGTAAAGAAAGTAGATAGCACATTTATCATTTGAAAATGAGGAGTGACTGAGTCTTCATTTTCAGCAACCATTTTGGAAACTTGAGCTCAAAATAGAAACATGAAGATGAGCCATGCCTTCTTCTGGGGTCAAAGTTTAACTTCTTCACTTGGAAAGCACCAGATGAAGTTCTTAGTAGCTGAGGTCAATATCGGTCTCCTTGACACACAGTGTTAGACTTCGGTCTTATCATTGTCTGGGCTGATGTCAGTTTCATTAGTTAGCCTGCTGATGACACCAGCTTAAGGATTAAGTCTATTTGGGTTCCAAGAGATGAGGAACATGATACATGGTGCTGGCTGAGCCCAAGGTTCTTATGCTGAATTAGTTCATGATAACCATGTGTTGTTGGGCCTGGTGGCTCACATCTGTATTTCTAGCAGTTGGGTGGCAGAGGAAGGAGGATTGTCGTGAGTTTGAGTCCAGCCTAGAATACAGAATGAGTTATAGACAAGCCAGAACTACATAGTGGGACCCTGTGTTGAGATTTAAATAACAAAAATTTGAAGTTAAAAAGGAGAGAGAAATGAAAAAAGAAACAAAGAAAAAGATAACCACGTGCTGGAATAAGCCCGCTATCCTGGGATTGAAACGGGCACTGGGAGAGAAGCTCAGAGGTTTCTATCCTGCCCCATCTCTGCCTGCTTGGTCACCAGGCTCCAGGCGCTGCCTCTCTTTGGAGCCCAGCGTGGGACCATGTCATCCCAGAGAAGATTTACTGCTTTACACAGACAACATACTCAGCACCAAACAAAACAGAAGATTTATTGATTTGTTTGCTCACTCTCTGAAGGCCATTTCCTCCACAGAAGAAACAGGAAGAGTGAGAGAATGTGTGTCCTTGAGGTCACTGTCTAAGAAGGAAAGGTGTGAAATTACAGCCAGGCCCAGCCTGCAGGGGGAGGGGGGTCCCGGCCAGGTGCTCTCCTGGCTGACTTCCGCATCTGAAGCTGTCTGTCCCGCTGATGGATGTGTGTCGTAAACAGAATGTTGAGAAGGCAAAGTGTATTTTGTTTGAGGAGGGTGCGGGAGGGGGGGGGAGGAAGGGGGGGGAGGCAGAGAGTGCCCCTGTAGGCCACAGCCACAGAGATCTAAGAGGATGAAAGCGGAGAGTGGTCACATGTGTGGCTGCTGGCAGCAGCAGACGCGAGGCAAATCAGAGTCTCCCCAGGAAGGGATAAGATTGCACTGACAAGGGACCAGGGATGAGCAGACGGTGGTAGCCTTTGCCTCTCGAGCATCTCAGCCTGATTACCAGACAGCTCTGTGTCACTGGGGTGAAGGAGGCTACTGATGGATGCCTACACTCAAGGTCTTCCGTCTTCTCCCAAAGGGCTCTCTAGAGACCCCACCACTGTCATCTCACTTCTTTACAAAGCCACTGGGAGACCTTGAGAGCCGCTGTGACACCAACGCCAGTCAAGTGAGAGCTGCTTCTCCAGAACTCCCATGGACCCCTAAGGCATGAGTATCACTAGCTGTGTCTCCAATTCTTCTGCACTCACAAGTCTGGGTCTGCACATCTTCCTGACCTGGCCTTCCAGAAACGAGACTGGGGTACTCTGCTCACAGCTAACTGCTGGATAATAAGCTAATGGAGAAGTCTGTTGTTCCCTGGAAGCAGAACGCCAGCTGTAAGCTACTCTGTCCTGCAGCCTGACTTTAAGGAAGGGGGATTTAAAGTACTAAACAAATTGTCTGTGGAAGGCAAATTTAAGGAGTGGCTGCTCTATCTTGAAGTCCTGGGCTGGTTCATATTGATCTCTCTCCCATTCAGAAGACCACAGGTATCTTAAAGACAGCCTGTCACTGTAGAAAGATTATTCGTAGTATGTCTACATGATAGATTCACGTTCGAATCCTGACCACGTTCCAGATGCATGATCTTGAGAGGACAACTCTTTCAGCAGTTAGGTGTGTGCGTGCTTGGGGGGTGGGAGAATGTGTGTCAGTCTGCCATCCTCTGTGACACGTAGTGATGGGGCCAGGCTGTGTACATGTTCCTAATGCTTAGAAGAAACAGTAGTCAATAACTCTCCTCAACAGTTGAGGTGGAAAAACAGAGTGTTACCATACCTTCCTTAGGAAGAGACCACCAATTGATATTGGATACTAATAACCCACAGGTTGTAACTAGGTCCCAATGCAATAGTACTAAAAGACAAGTCTTTTGAGGCACTAGTGTCCTCATAAAAAAAAAAATCTTGAAGGAACATGTTTGTCTTTTCTGCCAAGTAAGGACACAGCTAGCAGTCACCATTATGACCAGAATAGGAGCCCCTGATGGATACAAGATCTGGGGAAGCCTTGATCTTGATCTTTTCTGTCTCTGAAACTGTCAGCGGTAAACACCAGCTGCTAGAGTCTCCTACTTTATTTTGCACAGACACCCCAAGTCAACACACCAGAGCAGAGGGAGGAGGCTGAGCCACACAGGTAGGACCTGCCTGGCAACACTGGCTTACCTGAATCACAGCAGTATAGTTGGCGGGTGTAAACACTGGGCTGTTGTCATTCACATCAGAAATATCAATGTTGAGAGTTGTAGTTGAGGACATTGCGGGAATGCCACTGTCTACTGCTTGGATGAGCAGGGAGTATCCCGACACCTGGCCAGGCATAGAAATGGTAATAAGGAACTGCAGGACGCCCTCCCTTCTGCACATGCTCAGACAACTGGGATTATCTGGCTGTGCTGCCTTTATGCATATCCTGTAGACCTTGGCACCATCAACATTTGATGCTAGCTCTTCCTTTGTTGGGGGCTGGCCTATCATTTCAGGGTGTTTAGAGTTGTCCCAGCGTCTGCCCACTAGGATACAATATCACACTCCAGCTAGTTGTGTCAACCAAAACTGTATCCTGATATTTCTAGCTCTTCCTGAGAGGAGGAGCCAGTCCCTTTGAGGCTCTGCCCCAGCCCTTGTTCAGGACAGCTGTCATCACTGACCCACACTGCTGATTTTTAGTATTCCTGGGCTAGAGGGCTGTGTAACCTACAAGATTCAATTTGTGTTTTAATATTGCTGTGTGATTCATTTCTGTATTTAATTTTCTTTGAAAACATGTTTCAGTAGAGAATGGCAGTATTTAGAGTTAGCTCAATCTTGAACAAAGGGATTTTCTGGATCATTCTTTTCCTGGGTGTCTTCAAGTGATCTTTTCTGAGAAGCTCACATAGGGCTGAAGTTGCTAATGAAATCAGAGATCAGTATCCTGGGCTGAAGGGTTCTTCTTTCTCTGACTCATGAAGGACTGAAGTTCAAACTATGCAGAAAGGGACACATTTGTCTTTTTCTCCAAGGTCTCCAACATCTGCCAAAGCTAGTATCAGTAGAAAATTCTTTCAGATATCTAACCCAAGTATCTACCTGAATTTCCTTGCTGCTCATATGGAGCCTGCACCCATGAGTCCAGGGATGGTGTAGGCGTGGATGGTGAAGCGTGACCCAAACTCACTCACCCGTTCCCGGTCCAGTTTCTTCTTAACCTTCACAAGTCCCAAAACGGGGTCCACAACAAATTCATTGTCCCTGTCTCCACCCACAATGGAAAAACGAATCTGTCCATTGGGCTTGCTGTCCACATCTTCTGCTATGAGCTTCATAGAAAAGAGACAAAGCAAAGGGAAGGCATAACACAGGAGAAAGACAAACGTTTGATGCTTAGGGTCTCCGGCCTAAGGAACCCTGCCCACGATAAGTTTCTGGTGGAGGAGGTGATTGGTGGGAACAAGGAGGGCAACACCAGCGTGGGGCATTTGTATTTCCTTATTAATCTGTGCCTTCTCAGAGCCTGACATCATTTAGGCCTGGCTTTCATCAGGGTTTGAGATAATTATGTCAGACCTCAGAGCTAACTGGCAGGGTTGATTCCATGACCTCTTCACAGGTCTTCAAATAGTGGTCTCAGCCACTCATGAGGGTTCATCTTCATCGTCAGTGAGACTGGACTGGGAATCACTTGGAGACACAGCTCCGAGGACTATTCGAGTGTTTCTATGGCTGGCGTAGACGATGGATGATATCATCCCTATGAGTTGGGGCCCTAGACTGAATGAGAAGGAAGAAGACAGAAACCTAGAGGAACACTGTTCAACATTTCCCGACTGCGAACACCATGTGACCAGGCTTGCACTCACGTCCCCATGCCTTTCCATCACGATGGACCGTGTTTCCTCTCGCATCACGGGCTTTGTTCACACTAACCCTTCCAGGGTCTCTGTGCAACTTCTCCACTCCCCAGTGGGACTATACCCATGTATCCCCTCTTTGGTCATGGGTCAGTTATTCTATAGTAAAGGGTTAGCTGCCTCAGACCCGTAGGAGTGACCTTTGAAAACTGCATCTATGATACCTTCTGTTTTCTTCAAAAGCATGCAGCTCTGTAAGGAGAGCAATTACCAGTAATTTATACCTCGACACAAATGAATCTGTACAACCCCTTCTAATACACGAACCGGAGAAGGGGCTGTTGAAAGCCCATGTGTGACAGGCATCCTCGGAGGAGGGTGCACAAAAACCCTGAAAGGGAGAGTGAGAACCAAGCCCAAGACAGACCTCGCTCATGCCTTCACTGTGAGGATGTTTGTCCCAGAATGCAGATGCTGCTGGCACCTACCAGGATGACAGAGTCCCCCTCCAGGGTGTCCTCGCTGATGACAGCGCTGTAGACATCTTGGCTGAATTGAGGAGGGTTATCATTCACATCTGTGAGGTCGATGCTCACCGTGGCTGCAGCACTCAGGGCTGGCGTGCCCCCGTCTTTGGCTTCTACCACCAGGTAAAATCTTTTGCATACTTCATAGTCCAGAGCTTCCAAGACAGAAATGCCCCCTTCAAAGGAAAATGGGTAACTTTATATTTGATTAGGGGGAAACATGGTCCAGCTGTTCTGCACACACAGCGCTATTTACATCACCTCTAGCCAAGATTCCACATTCGGGGGTCTGTTTATTGAGTCCCTGATAGCTTCCTGGAAATCTGATGAACACTGTTGGTTAAAGCATAGCCATCTATCAGACACACTGCTGAAGAAATGGGCAGTGTTCCCAGGTGTCTGTGACAACTGCAGGACTTCTTACAGGCAACATGGAAATCTCTGCTTGTGAAGCTAGAGAGCAGGACAGGGACAAACACCCCGAGTAGCATCCCTTGAGTCCCTGAGTGGACCCTGGGGAGGAAGAACACGTGATATGTGGTTGTGACTGGTGGGGGGAGCGGCGCTGCCCCCTGTCATCAGGTAGCCACTCACAGCCAACACTGGATTCAGTTAGCCACACAGCTGCTGTGGCGATTTATAATGTGCTCATTTAGAACTATCATGCACAGAGGCCGAGGGCACCGAGGACACGGGGAACCTCAAGGCATGAGGTGAAAGGAGCTCCTGAAAGAAAACAGCATAGTCCAGGTGTCACACCCACATAGCTCAGACGATGCCACCACAAGGAATCAAGTGAGCAGGAAGAAAGAAGGCTTCCAGTGGAGGGCAACCTCTAAGATGAACTCTGACCACCCTTCCTGTCCCAGCCCTGCCTGGTAGTGACATTGTGCAGTGTTCTCTAGTTGGTAGCTAGTCATTGTGTCCATAGGACAGCTGCTAAGTTTTTGTCTTTCTTTCACTTGGAAAACAATCATTAGAACAAATGAGAGGGTCATTCTCTTGAGCATAACTAGTCAGAGAACTCTAGTGCGAAGTCTGCCATCAGGGTCCTTCAAATTATGATGGAAACAGAAGTTGTATATTTATCAAGAGCCCACTTTGATTCATAATTGAATTTTCTTGGCACTTACTACCCTTGGAGTTTAACTTTGCCAGTTTAGTTACCTAATGCCAAATTTAAACTATCCTTAGCCATCTCCCATGGCGTTCATACAGAATGTCATAGCTGAACAGGGCAAAGCTAATGCGTGTCTTAATGAATGGAGTCTTCATACAGTTTGATTTGAAGTAATGGCCTTAATAAACTCTTACTGCTTGGAGGACCTGCTAATGCAGCCCTTCAGCCAACACTTCACTTTGATTTACCCAAAAGTACATTTTTACATTTGTCCACAGTAGTTATGTTGTGACAGGGTTAGAGTGTGCACATCTGAGTCAGAAAGAAAATTCAAATATTGGATAATCCACTTACGAATAGTAAAGGCTGATGAAATTACTTAACTGCTCAAAAGTTCTGCTTTGCTCATTTGGGATATGTGAGCTGTAGACAAAGATTTAGTAGGCATGTAGAACACTGGCAATGTTAATTGAATGTTGTCGATCATGGTACTACCCTTCTTCTGTGCATTGACTACTGAGAAGCAGGACTCCTCTGCCATCTTTTGTAGCAGCCATAGGGAATGGGCAAAGGTCAGCAGTGTGAGAAACTTACCTCCTGCCTGGAAAATGGGAACAGTCTTGACTATTAGAGGATAGTTCCTTCAGAAAGGAGCATACCAAGGTACTCTGAATTGAGATGAGTGGGAAACCATCTAGATACACACATTCTGGACTGACAAAACAAAGCAACCATTTGATGTGCAGGGGATCATGGCCAATGTCAGTCATGCCTGCTGACCAGAGAGTGGTCATCTACCTGCGGATGGGGTACAGAGACAGCTCATTTCCTGTTACCCCTCCTACCATAGTCACGTGGGATCCAAGTAAAAATACAAACAGAAAGGAGACACAAATATACTCTTGCACTTGAATGCAAACACCATAACTGCTACTTAGGGAACACACTGCTGACCCAAGCCATCCTACCTAGATGTTCTGTGGTCAACTCATGGGTCAGGAATTTTCCAAGTAAGCCCACTGCTTGGAGTTTGGAATTTAGAAGGGCCATTGTTAGGAGCAAGACACTGAGGTTTGCATGCAGGCCCTGTAAGGGAGGCAGAAGGAACACATAGATCCCACCAAGAAGGGTGATGGGATGGGAGAAGAGACAGGAAGTCTTATTGGAGTTGTCATTTACCCACCTGTCTTTGGGTTGATCCTAAATTTCCCTTGTTCATTCCCAGACCGGATGAGATACGTTATCTCAGCATTTGTGCCAATGTCTTTGCTGGTGGCAAAAACGGAGAGGACTTGGGTACCAAGGGAAGTGTCCTCAGGCACTGTTACTAGGTAGTCCCTCCTCTCAAACACAGGGGGGTTGTCGTTGATGTCCAGGACAGTGATGGTGACAGAGGCGAGAGAGGAGAGGGATTGCCCGGGACTCTGGTCGGTGGCCCTCACACTGATGTTATACGATGACTGCTGCTCTCTGTCTAGAGGCCGCTCCAGGATGATGACACCAGAAGAGCTGTCGATGGAGAAGACCCCACTGGCTGAGTCCTCCAGGGAGTACACAACCTTCCTGTTGATGCCTGTGAGGAGTGACACAGAATGAGAACTCAAGAACGTAGCAACAAGACACTGCCATTTCTTGGTTTATGAAAGACCTCTACCTCCCCCAGAGAAAAGGCCATTGTAGAAATAGTTCTGGTCTTTCAGAAATGAAATCTTCAGTTTGCAGAACAGAACAGAATTAAAAGCAGGAAACTGACAACAAATACCAAAATTCTTTGGTTATTATTAATATATACCTCCTTCAAGTTAATTTTCCCTGAGGAAAATTCTGGGGCTAATAGACATTATGGATAACAATATACTCCCCCCAAAAAAACAGAAACTAAATATCCAATCACTTCACCACATACTCATTGAGAATCTACCAGATACTATGGAAGGTGATGGGGATTCTAGGCATGGGTGAGAATCTGACAGCACATGACAACTTTGAGAGAGGAGTCATGGATTATGTCTTAGACATGAACAGGCTTCTTCCAGATGCTGCTGGAAAACACCTAAGGACAACAGATAGAAGACAGGCACTATTTGATGGCCTCCCAAAGGAATGTAGGCATAGCATTGAGCAAGAATGGCAGCTTGAGCGAGGGCCCAGGGTTGGCAGTGATTGGAAAGCACCTATTGCATGTCTTCTGAGTACCAGGGGGTAGCAGGGGAAGAATGTGAGAAGTCCTTTGAACATGGAGGTGGCAAGGGAATGCTTTCTGATGTGGGGCTGGCAGCATGTGAGATGCCGGAGAAGAGAGACTTTAAATGACTCTTCCATGCAGCCTGACCAACTGCAAAGAGGGAGTTCTCGGTTGTTGAGAAGGGGACAGATGTGCGAGAATGAGGTTGGGGTGAAAAGGCCAGGGTTCCCATGTTAAATTGAAGGTGCATACCTGACATTCAATGAAAAAGTTAGGCTGAACAGGCTGGAGGTGAGAAAAGAAGCTCAAACTGGAGTTACACTCCTCGGTATCACTAGCTATGATTCACATGCAAAGTGATGAGAATGTTTGAGCTTATAAGGACCACAGAGGGAAAAGTGAAGTCATAGGACCAACAACCCCCAGGGTGGGGGTGGGGGCTCTTTTTAGCTGAAGGAGAGCTGACTCCCTGATTTCAAGATATGCGTTTAGCTCCAAAAAGTCATCTTGACATGGACTCAAACAAAAACGTATCAACCAAGAAATGTCCACCAATAGATTTCTGAATGGCATTGCTTGAGGGCTATTGTCATTAATTAAAGATTTCAGTGCTTCCCATTGGGTATTAAACCTAAGATTTGCTTCACAAATTAAAATTTTTAAGGAAAGTAGAATGAATTTATTGCTGGAAATAGCTCCAGTTTGATCATAAAATTCTCTTTAGAATAGATTTTAATTTAATATTTTAGGGGTGTGAGTGCGTACATGCATGCGTGCGTGCGTGTGTGTGTGTGTGTGTGTGTGTGTGTGTGTGTGTGTCCTGTGGAGGCCAGAAGAGGGCATCAGATCCCCAGGAGTTAGAGTTACAGTGAGCTGCCCAGAAGGGTTCTGGGAATCTAATTCTGGTCCTTAGCAAGACAGCTAAGGACTCTTAACTGCTGAGCCTCCTCTCCCAGCCCTCACAAATACTCTCAATGAAGACAGTCATTCATCAGAGGCCTTTTGCTGTGATGACCATCTGCAATGCCAATTGTGTATCATGGAACTTGGAACACAGACTTTTCTAGGGGGAGGATTCATTGTACATTTCCTAGCATGACACCTTGCCAAGGTGGGCAGGAATTCGGCAAATAAGAACCGAACATTTTGCTTCCCCATGTACAGTTTCCTTGAAAAGCAAACAAATTTTCAGCAAACCAATATAATCAAGTGTCTGGAAGGGATGCCATAAGTCGCACTGTGTGGCTGTGACTAAAAGGCCAGAGTATAGAACATGTTCTTGGTCCCATTCCCAAGAGTCTATTTTTTTCACCCTAAGTTTCATCATCTTCTCTTATTTCTGTTGCAAAACAACCATCAGTTATAAACTTCAACCTCCAATAGTTATACTTAGACTAAAAACAAATGGGTGTTCTCCTTCTGTCCTGGTCCCTTGAACTATGGCTTCAGGGCAGGACTGGAAGAAGGAATTCTTCCGCATGAATCCCTGATGTGCACAGGCATGCAGAAGGGATCGTTTGTTCCCTAAAAACAATCACCTCGCTGAGTGTCAGAGCAGGTGCTATGGATGCTGCCTAGACTGACTTGGTGTTTTCAGGACACTGTTCAAAGTCGCGGAGGTATGTTTACGCAAACACAGCAGCGACAGACATGAATACACAACATAGGCTTTCCCATCACACACATTCCCCACAGGTTTGAATTCCACCCCCAGCACATGGCACACAGTTCTTGCCAAGAGCAGGAAACAGAAGACACACAGCCTCTTATGTAAGCATGTGCTGGGATGTACTAAATTCATTCCAGTGGTGCAGGAGCCCAGGGCTGAGGACCTGGCCTAGTCCTCTCAACATCTTTAGACATGAGGGGCACTGAGCTAAGTCCTGTTTTTCCTAGAATCATTGCTTAGCTTCCTGGAGGTGTTGTAGGAGACCTGCTCATGGGCATTTTATCTCTTCAGGCCCAAAGGTCAGGTAAGGAGGAAGGCAACTTCCGATTCATTTAATTCACAAGCTGAATTAAGCGAGACAAGAAAGCTCTCCAGTTCTCATGGAAATGCCCAAGGCATTGAGCTGGACACACTGTGGCTAGAGCCAACAGCAAGGGGGAGATCCCATTCTCTACCTGAGACTGTTGCAGGAAACCCTGGACTGCTCAGAATAATCATTGCTAAAGACTATTTCCAGGAGAAAGCATATTAAGAAGACCCCACTGTGGGGTTAAGAGATAAGACGTTTAAGATATGAGTAGGTCGTAAAATTCTGCCCTCAATGGCTAGCGGTTGATAGTAAGTTGGCTATTGTGAGAGTGGGTCTGTTATAAAGGACATTGGGACACTTTTCCATGAGGTCTTTTTGCACCTTAATGGCTTGTCCTAATTTAGGATTCTGCAGAGTCTCTATAACAAGGAGCCCTTCACCAAATTCAATCTCCAAGCCTTCCAACTTCAAGAAGCATGAGTAAAATAAGCCTTTTTATAAAGTAAGCACTCAGTGCTATTCAGTTATAGCAAAAGAAATGGGCTAGGATAGTTGCTGACTTCTCACTTCCTGGAGACAGAAACCATAGTTGGGGTAGATGATGAGGTAACTCTTCACAGCATAGCCCTGCGCTGCCTTCTTCCGATCCGTATACATCATGATCTGGCACTCCATCTCTGGTCTGAGGACACCAGACACATTTACTTCTCTGGCCTATGCTCAGGCTGTCTTCTGCCCAGAGTGTTTTTCTTTTCTCATCTGTCAAAAGCCCTCCACACCTTTCTCAGGGTGTCCTTGGAGCAGCTTCCCGAGCTGCTCTAGCCGCTCTCTTTCCTGAGCCTCCTTGGTATCATTTTTGTTTCTGTTGTACATCGAGTTCTAAGAGTCTCCTGCTCCAACCAGATTAAGGTGCTTGTGGGCAGAAGGACTATGCCTTGATCATTTTATTGTCCAACACCAAGAAGGAGCCTGGCATGCTAAGAGCTATAGTCAATACAGAAGAAACATCTAAAGGATGGAAAGACTGGGCGTGGTGATGCTAACATGTGTGAGCACAGGTGATAAGTAGATAAGTATACTACATGCATGTGCTTTGAAAATGCACAAGTAGAAGGAATTAAATAGCCTCAAAATGGCAAAGTATGATGAGACCCGGAATGAATAATATTAAAATGCGGAAGAGGGACTGGGGAATTGGCTCAGTGACTAAGAGCACATTTCATGGCTGGAGAGGCAGCTCAGGGTTAAGTGTACATGCTGCTCTTCCAGACGAGTCAACGGTGGCTCTCAGCAACCATATCTGACAGCTTACGGCCTGTAACTCCAGTCCTCGGAAATATGATGCCTCTTCTGGTCTCTGTGGGCACTGCAGTTGTGCATATACTCACTATACATAGTTTAAAAAATAGGAGTAAATCTTTAAAATAAATACAATGCAGAGAAAGCTTTTTTGTATATAAAAATGCTGTTGAGTAGATGTTTGATTCTATAGAAAAGAAAACCTGGTAAGTACTCAATTTTATAGAATGGATATCAGCTAAATAGACTGTGGCACACTGATAAGCTAATAGAGTGCTTTGTACATGTCATTTAATGTAAATGGATAGATGACATGGACATCTGTTTATGAATCAGCATAAACAGTGCAGATAATGAAATAGTATCAAGTTTTTAAGTTTATTTTTATGAAGTAAAAGAACTGAATGGATTCAGTCAGAATATTAACTGTTTTGAAGCTGTTTCTCATATTTGCTTAGCTTTCTATCTTATACAGTGGTCACAGGACACTGAAATATGTAAATGAAGTGATCAAAAACTCACACACTCAGAAAACAATTCTTTAATACCAATTTTGGAAAGCATCCAAGTTTTCAAGTGATTTTTTTTCCAGCCCAGTTTTAATTCTTAATGTACATACCATTTGAAATAATTGTAGGAAATTAGACCTACATATTGCATAGGCTTTCTGGCGGGTGTTTCCATTGTTCATTCTAGCTCATCGTGCTTAGAAAGATACTAATGCTACTTAGAAAATTGCTTTTGTCAAAGGACCCATTATAAAGTTACTGCAAAGAGTATTTTTAAACTAAATTTTACGCTTTAATTAAGGCAATTAAAGGAAATGACTGGCCTAAAATTCTTCTCTCCTCCTCTTCAGTAGAAGGCAATGCAATCCCAGGGAGTCAAACAGCCTAGGATGAGTGCTCCTGTTCTATCTTTGAGATATATGTTGGGATAATATAGAATTAAACTGGAAGTTCCTATGATGAATCCAGGAATTAGCAATACTTTTAGCTTAGCAATTACTGTCTTTTAATATACTTTCTAATGACTTCTGTTTTAAGTGCTATTTAAAAGTTTTTCAATGGGTGATGACCAAAGCTTCCACATTTTCCTGGGCAGAGCATC